CCTCACATCCCAGCTCCAGGCCGGGGCGCTCGCTACGGACCAGCGCTGGGCTGGTGGAAGGGGCAGGTTGGCCGCAGCCCGCCAATCAGCGCCGGGCTCCGGCGGGCCCGATCCTGACCACGCCCCCTATCACCTCGCGTGGGGGGAAGCGCGTCCGGCATCCCCTGCGCTGACCCGCGGCCATCTTGGAGGAGGGCAGACGAAGCCGTAGCCGCTCCTGGGCCGAGCTCGACAACTGGGTTTTGCTGCACATCCGTCAGGCGTCGGCTCCAGAGTTACACGGGTGCCTTCATCGAGGTACCCGGCTTCGCCAGCCGACGAACTCGGGCCCGGTTTCAGGGCTCGGGGTGGTGAGAAAACCTGGAGGACATCATCTATCCAAGGGGTCATCCGCAAGCCCGAGCCGCCAGCGCTGGGGCGGCTCCTGCCACACGCGCTCCCTGGCGTCTGGCGCTCCGAACACTGGTAACCCGGGAATACAATCAAAAGTAAAGGTAGCAAGCCGGGCACCGGGGTCTCACGCCTGCAATCCCAGCTTCCCCGAGGCTGAGCTCCGAGGGTCCAGGTCTGAAGTCAGCCCGGGCTGGAAAGTCCTTGAGAATCCTATCTCCTGTTAACCACCCGAGAAAGCCAGGAGTGGTGCTGGGTCTCCACTGGCAGAGATCTAGCCTTCAGCAACAAAACAAAACACCCCCCACAAAACTCAGGGACCCCCAAACCCTGAATTCAAGCCTCAGGACCACGCGCATGCGTACACATACACACTGATGTTATTATGATGTTGCCAAATAATTTCTTTGACCAGGTATCACAACCTACCAGTGCATTTGTGGGGTCATCTCCACTGTTTTTGTTGTTTCTATTTTATGCAGTACTGTAAACTTGGGGATCCAGAAAGTGACTTAACGTTGGGGGATAAGGAGAGTTTTGAACTAGCAGTCACAAAATCCTTTCTAGAAAAACCAAACAGCAAGCCAGCCCTGATATAACAGTTGCTGGAAAGGCTAAGGCAGGAGGATTGCATGTTTCCATCCCGTTTAGGCAAGATGAATTTTTAAAAGGCTAGGTGTGTGGCTCAGGAGTAGAGTACTTGACTAGCATACATTCTAGGTTAGATGCCCAGCCCTGCCCTGAGAGGGTGTGTGTGTAGGGGAAGCAAGTTAAGAGGGAATTAGAAGAAACATAAGGGATATTGAATCTCACTTGCACTATGCTTTGTCCATACATTTATTATCTCCTGGTTATCAGAGCTTTAAATATAGTTACGCATTGGCGAGGCCCACATTTATATCTCTAGGTCACACCCCTTCCTGGAACCCCAGATATCATTATCCAAAGATCTATTCATGAGTGGTGCTCAAATGTGAATGCCCACCTCTCCAATCACTCCAACTCTACCCTTAAACTTAACCTGGCAAATGGTAACTCCGTCTTAGTAGTTAAACTTCATCAGGTCAAGACCCCAAGACAGGGCTGGGAAGGTGGCTCAGTGGTAGAGCGCTTACCTTGCATGCATGAGGCGCTGGGTTCGATTCCTCAGCACCACATAAGCAAAAAGAAAAAGCCAGAAGTGGCGCTGTGGCTCAAGTGGTTGAGCTCTAGCCTTGAGCTGAAGAGCTGAGGGAGGGACAGCATCCAGGCCCAGAGTTCAGGCCCCACGGCCGGACCCCCCCCCAAAAAAAAAGACTCCAAGACATCCTTCATTTCTCCTTTCTTATGCCATACCACCAGTACCATCAAGCTTTCAAAAATCTATCCAAGATTCAACCAGGTACCACTTCTACTATTCCTGCCTATCATGGGCTAAGCAGCCATCATTCCTCATCAGCGTTTATTTTTGTCAGTCATGGAGCTTGAACTCAGGGGTTGGCTGCTGCCATTGAGCTCTTTTGCTCAAGGCTAGTGTAAGGTCCACTCTTGGATGGCTAGCAGACTCCACCCTCCTCGTAGCAAAGTCTCTACCCAGTACCTACATTACCTAGGCAACTGGGATACCTGGAAGAGGTCACATCTGCATCCCCTGAGGTCACATCTGAATTTGATGTGGCCACACCTTTCTCCGCCCACACCTTAACAAAGGCCTAGTCTAGGCCCTGATGCTTTCTCTCTGCTCTTTTCTAGCTCTTTCTCAGCTCTTTCCTTCTCTTCTCTTTCCCAGCTCCCTTCTCTTTTCTAACTCTCTCCCTCTGCTCTTTTCTAGCTCTTTCCTCTCTTTTTTCTAGCTCTCTGCTCTTTCTCTTTCCCAGCTCTCTTTCCCAGGTCTTTCCCAGCCACGTGGAGGGCCAATATGGCCTGGTCCCAGCAGGTCTACTGAATAAACCTACCTTTTACCTAAATACGACGTTCATGGTGCTGTTCTTACTCGGCTACCTCTTTTTAAAAACCTAACAGCTAGCACTCTACCACGTTGTCCACAGCTCCATTTCCAGTTTTGTGGTGGTTAATAGGAGATAAGAAGCTCACAGTCTTTCCTGCACAGGCTGGCTTTGAACCTTGATCTTCAGATCTCAGCCTCCTGAGTAGCTAGGTTTACATGTGTGAGCCACAAGTGCTTAGCTACATCTGGATTATCTTAATCACTTGGGGCTCCTATCTACCTTTGCTGTCCACTTGATTCAGTTGCCATGTAAGTTGTTTGTTTGTTTTTAATAGCTAAGTTTACATCCACTCCATATCTCAAAATAAAATTAAAAGCTGCCTAGCAGTGGTAGTTCATGCGTATAATCCTAGCTATTTAGAAGGCTGAGATTTTAGGATTGTGGTTTGAAGCCAGTCCAATGAATAAGTAAAGCTTTTGTTCAAAAATGCAGGATCTTACCAGACACAGCTCTTGCCTTCTCACTAATCCCTGCAATGGCACTCACATCCCTCCTTAAAGCCTTTGCACTTTAGTTCTTGCAACCTGGAATTCTCTTCCACACTATGGCCCACACTCACATGTTCCTTCCTCAAAGGCTCTATGTTCTCTGAATACCTTAATGCAAAAACCCTTATCCCCTCTCACCTACACTGCATGTACTTTCGTTGGTTTATTGTGTTCGTGCTTATACCAATATATCTGATATAGATTTTTATTTTCTTTTCTTTTTTTGTCAGTCATGGGGCCTAAACTCTGGGATTGGGCGCTGTCCCTCAGCAATTCGGATTAAGGCTAGCACTCTACCACTTGAGCCACAGTGCCATTTCTGGCCTTTTCTGCTTATGTGGTGCTGAGGAATTGAACCAAGGGCCTCATGCATGCAAGACAAGCACTCTACCACTGAGCCACCTTCTTTATCTGAGTTCTCCCACACAGGCATGTAGACTTGGAAAAAGGACCTTTATATTACTGCTTTGTTTTCAGTGTTCAGGCTAGTGATGGGTTTATAGTAGGTGATTAATAAGTGTTTGGTGAAGTATAGACCGAATCATCACAACTCCCTACAGGCTCATTCCTGTCTCGATTTCACAAGTAAGGAAATGCTCATCAAGGTCTTTAAGAAACATTACCTAGCAGGGTGTTGGTGGCTCAGGCCTGTAATCCTAGCTACCTTAAGCAAAAAAGTCAAGCCAAGGTAGAGTACAAGATCCTAAATTCAAGTTCCAGTATCCCCCCTACCCCCAACCTATTTAGCTAAATTTTAACAATGTAGAGATGAAAAGGAAAATTTCATTCAACATAAGATCCAGAAGCTCCTTTTTAAAGTTAGACATTCTTTTGCCCATTTTTCAGATAATTTAACTCTTTTTGCAAAGGAGCAACCTAAGTTTCTAGAGCTCACCACCAGGGGCTGGGAAGGTGGCTCAGTGGTAGAGCCCTTGCCTTGCATGCTTGAGGCCCTGGGTTCAATTCCTCAGCACCACATTAAAAAAAAAGCCGGAAGTGGCCCTGTGGCTTAAGTGGTAAAGTGCTACCCTTGAGCTGAAGAGCTGAGGGACAGCGCCCAGGCCCAGAGTTCAGGCCCCACGACTGGAAGCCCCCCCCAAAAAAACATACAGTTCACCACCATGGATCCAATGTTGCTTTTTACAAATTCATATGGTCATCAGAATTGCTCCCTTGCAGATTGCTCCCCCACCTCCAAACTGATGCCTGCAACAACTTCTTCAGAACCTCTGTCAAACCAAGACTAAGCCTGTGCTGGTGGCTCACACCTGTAATCCTACCTACTCAGGAGGCTGAGATCTGAGGATCATGGTTCAGCCCGGTCAGGAAAGCCCGGGAGACTCTTATTTCCAATAAACCACCCAGAAAAACGGAAGTGGTACTGTGGGTCAAGTGGTAGAGTGCTCACCTTGAGCTAAAGAGCTGAGGGACAGCGCCCAGACCCAGAGTTCAAGCTCCAGGAAAACATACAAAAACAAAATAATGACCAATCAGCTTGATCTGTAATAGGGTGTGTGTATACATACCTTCTCACCTCTGGCTCAACTCCTTTTCTATTTAACCAACTGCTAATATCTGAACTGGAAGATTGGCTAAAGCCCTCTTCACGTGACACTGAGACTTCCTAATAAGCCTCCATTCTTAGCCTACCATCACTCTTTCTATTTGGCATGCTGGGACAAGTGGCTGGACCTGACATGTTGAATCCCAGGAGTGAGGGCCAGTTTCAGTACACACAGGAGATACCCAATAAAGATGGTTTCACTTTAGTAACTAAATACCCACACTGCGAAAGGGAAGATTATGTCATAACGAGTTTCTTTCTACCTTTCTGGTATCTAGCCTTTCCTCTTTAGGGTGCTCCTTGTAAATTGAATCAAATGGGAAAAAGTAAAAAGGAAGCTGAGGGCATGCATTTATCTCTGCTGCGCTGAGTCGCCTGGTTATCTCCCTAGGAGCACGAAAAACACTTTTTCACTTATCTCAGGGGCTCAGACCCACGTCACGGACACCTTGAGTCGCTGACTTCTTGAGGCTGTAGAAAAAGTCCCTTCTCAGCCACCGTAGCCGAGAGACCCGGCAGCATGCTGCGATAGGCTGATCATGTTTTGGCGCCAAAGCCAGCAGCGTGGAGTTAGGGCTGTGTGGGACGCCGAACGAGCAGGGTGTGCTGCCGGAGCCCACGGCCGTTTGTCCTGAGACCCGGCGGTTGACTGGACGAGGCCACCAGGGCGCGTCCACCATGTTCGGCGAAAAAGCCATGGAACTGGTCCGCGAGCTGCACCGCGCGCCTGAGGGGCAGCTGCCGGCTTTCAACGTGAGGAGGCCGGGGGCCGGGGGCCGGGGAGCGGCGCGGCGCGGCGGGCGGGCCGGGGGCGGGGGCAGCCCCTGCCCCCCAGCACTTCATTGTGGGTCTGGGCAGCTCACCGTGAGGGCTTCACGTCCCCGCCTAGGCCGCTCCCCGGGCGGGAGGGATGAAACCAAATACTGAACTCCGGTTGATGCGACCCAGCAGCCCGGTGAGTTCCTTCCTCTGAGTCGGAGACCCTTCCTGGTACGGTTCGGCGTTCCTGTTAGGCAGACTCACCCATTGCTTTAGAGCAATCTAGCACTTGATGCTCCCCTCCACGCTGCCCCCCACCCCGGCATCGATGTGAGGTGATTAAAAGCGGACCCGCGAGCCAGGCGCCGGTGGCTCACGCCTGTAATCCTAGCTATTCAGGAAGCTGAGATCGAGGATCAAGGTTCAAAGCCAGCCCGGACAGGAAAGTCAGCGAGACTCCTATCTCCAATTAGCGACCAGAAAACCGGAAGTGGGACAGAAGCTCAAAGTGGTAAAGCGCTGGGGACAGCGGCCAGGCCCTGCAAAAGAAAGGAAAAAAAGAAGAGAGAGAAAGAAAGAAAAGAAAGAGAGAAGGAAGGAAAGAAAAAAAAAGAAAGAAAAAAGCAGAACTGCAGGGCTCTGGGAGTCTAGTAAATAGCCAGTAGCCTTTGCTCCACCAGCAGGAGGTGGGGCCAGGAGGGAGGGAATGAAGAATTTCTGAACCTGCCTGGGATTCTGGCTTTCAGACTTTGGTCTGGTCTCAAATGCAAAAACTGATGTGATAATGATCTTACTTCAAAGCTCAACGCTACAGTAATTGAAGTGAGGGGGCCTGAACGTCTAACATGGTGTAAAAGTAGAGTTTGCTGTTAATTTCTACTAGGTGTGGTGTAAAAGTAGAGTTTGCTGTTAATTTCTACTACGGTTGCGACTTCCACTTCACAAATAAGATAATTCTGATTTTTCTGTTACTATTACTCCACCCAGGGTGACATGCAGTTGACCTGCTTCATCTTTTATCGTCATAATAAACCCTTGAGGTTTTCACATTTCCATTTTTCCAGCCATATATGCACAGGCTTGGAGAGCTTGTCTTACTAAGATGACATAGAAAATAAGAAGCAAACCTAGGACCCAAGTACACTCTAAATCCTTTTAGGTTGTATGAATAATGTTGCTAGGAACATGTATGCAAAGTTTTTTGTGAACTTATATTTTCACACAAAACATATGCCTAGGAATGGAATTGGATATAAACCTAGGAGAGGAATTACTGGATCATATAGTAATTATGTGTTTTAACTTTGTGAGGAACTGTTGAATTGTTTTCCACAGGCTGTACCATTTTACATTCCTCACCAATACATATAGCCGTTGTAGTAGTATGAAAGGGCTATGGATTTCTTTTTTTTAACAAGGTAAATCAAGTTGCCATGGAATTGACAGGGAAAAATACATGTTTCTCAATATCAGTTTTCCGATTATGTGTTTTAGGAGGATGGAATCAGACAAGTTCTAGAAGAGATGAAAGCATTATATGAACAAAACCAGTCTGATGTGTAAGTTTTTATAACACTGATATTTCAAAACAACCTAAGAAATAAGATGTTGAAATCAGATAAGCATGCATCCATTTTTAGGGGATTTTTGAAAAATTATAACTTCATCATACTCTGATTATACAAATGAAAAGATTAGGGCCACATTAATAGATAGTAAAGTCTTAGGCAAGTTATTTCACTGGGGGGGGGGAGGAGTTCCTCTGGTGCTGTTCCTGAGCTTTTGTGCTCAAAGCTAGCACTCTACCATTTGATCCACACACAGCTCCACTTCTGGCTTTTTGGTGGTTAATTCGAGATAAGAGTCTCATGAACTTTCTTGCCTGGGCTGGCTTTGAAGCGTGAGCCACTAGTGCCCAGCTTGTTATTTCACTTGTGACTTCTTAAAGCACTGATGCTCACACCTATAATCCTAGTTACTAAGGAGGCTGAGATGTGAGGATCACGGTTCCAAGCCAGCCTGGGCAGAAAAGTCTGTGAGACTTATCTCCAGTAAACCACCAGAAAACCAGAAGTGGCACTGTGGCTCAAGTGGTAGAGCGCTTGTCTTCAGCTAAATAGCTGAAGACAGTGCCCAGGCCCAGATTTCAAGCCCCATGACTGACCAAAACAAAAAGCACCGATGTGAAGATAGTTGCTCTTCACTTCAGTTAACTGCTGCTAATCATAAATGGACAAAAACAAACACATAAATTGATACTTGTTGGCTTTGAACTTTTCACTTATACTAGAGTATACATATTTATTTTTTGCTCTAAATACTTTTACCAGGAATGAAACAAAGTCAGGTGGAAGAGGTGATCTGATACCAACCATCAAATTTCGTCATTGTTCTTTATTAAGAAATCGGCGCTGCACTGTAGCCTATTTGTAAGTTTCTCAGTTTCTTCATGGTATGGCAGGGCAGGAAACCCAGGATAGTTTTCGATGTCATTTGATTTCCCAGGTAACTGTATCAAATGGATAGCAGAAAATCTAAGATTTGTCTCTCTCTTTCTAAGCATTTTTTTTTCCTCTTCTTAAAACTTTTCTTATGAGCTGAGTGTTGGTAGCTCATGCTTACCTACCTCTTAGCTACTGAAATCTGAGGATCATGGTTCAAAGCCAGCCTGGACAGTGAGACTTTTTATCTTTAACCACCAAAAAACCAGAAGTGGCACTGTGGCTCAAGTGATAGAGCACTAGTCTTGAGAAAAACAAAACAAAAAAACCCTCAAGGATAATGCCTAGGCCCTGAGTTCAAGCCCCAGGCCTGGCACCAAAAAGAACAACAGAAAACAAAACTGCAGCATTCATAAAAGGAGAAAGAATATGAACCTCATGGAGTTATCATACCCCCCTTAGGCCTTTTGATGTTTTGCCATATCTGTTCGTATTTTGCTTTTTAATGATGGATTATTTTAGTTCCTTTAATATTTTTCTTTTTTCTTTTTTGTCGGTCATGGGGCTTGAACTCTGGGCCTGGGCATTGCCCCTGAGCTCTTCAGCTCAAGGTGAGCTTTCTACTACTTGAGCCACAACACCACGTCCAGCTTTTTCTGTGTATGTGGTGCTGAGGAATCGAACCCAGGGCCTCATGCATGCAAGGCAAGCACTACCACTGAGCCACCTTCCCAGCCTTCCTTTAATATTTTTCTTATTTCTCCAAGAAATAAGGACCTTTTGGGGCTTCATAACCACTGTGTATTTTCAACACCTGGAGAACTGAGCAGTGCCTTCAGGGCATCATCCTATCCCTAGAACTCTTCCTCCATGGTTCTAAAGATATCTTAGAGTTGGTTTGTTTCTATTAGCCAAATAAAGTTCTGACCAAAAAAAAAAAGGAACAAAGAAAGACTTCTGATCCCCCTCTTATTTTATCCCTTCTCATGTCCTAGGTATGACCGGTTGCTTCGGATTAGAGCTCTCAGGTGGGAATATGGTAGCATCTTGCCAAATGCTTTACGATTTCACATGTCTGCTGAAGAAGTAAGTTAACAACAGGTCAAGTTTATGAGAATGCTGAGCGTGACATTGTTTTCAATTGGTGTTTTTCTTTTTTTTAACATCTGTTCTTCAGAATTTTGTAGCATTCATTTATTTTGTGTGCACTGTGATAAGAAGCATGTAGTCATGAATGGTTCTTAATGCTTTGTGGAAAATTCTCTTTTTTGTTTTGTTTTGTTTTGTCGGTCATGGGCCTGCGCGCTGTCCCTCGGCTCTTTAGCTCATGGCTAGTGCTCTACCACTTGAGCCACAGCGCCACTTCCAGTTATTTCTGCTTATGTTGTGCTGAGGAATCAAACCCAGAGCCTCATGCATGCAAGGCAAGCACTTTACCACTGAGCCACCTTCCCAGCCCAAATTCTCTCATTAATAAAATAGAATCCCATATATTATCATTAATCTATCACTGAGATAAAGAAACTGGCATTATGTATACACATATATATTTGCTTCTATATGTGTATAAAGCCTACACTTGCATATATACACTCTAATCAACATTATAGTTTCATATTAATAATGAAACTCTTGATTTTTTCTAGTCATTGAGACATAGGACTAGTCCAGTATTTAAGGACATAGACTTGGTGTCCAGTTTCACCTTAAATATTAGGATTGAGATGAGCCAGTCCTTTTTCTGCCTGACCCACGCATGGTGCCACCTTGGTTATAAATTGACTGTCCATTCATTGGTGGATTTGGGATGGAGGTACTGTCTTTTCTGTTTGTCTAATTATCTGTCTATAGCAATTGTACTGTTGTCATTACTGTAACTTTATCATATGTTAAGAAGATATTCCCATCTTGATCGTCTTTTTAAAAAGTTTTGACTATTTTTGGTCCTTTACACTTTCATGCAAATTTTACACTCAAGTTCTGTTTTTTTAATTGCAATTTTTTTGAGATTGAATTGAATCTATTAAGTCATTTGACATTATATTGAATCATGTAATCTGTGAATGTTATGGCTATATATGTAGGTCTTTCATTTCTCTCAACAGTCTAAAAAAACACTAATAACTGGGGATTAGAGGAGTGGCTCAGTGGCAAAGTGAATGTTTAACATAATCCCCAGCACTACAAAAAACCCCAAAAGTCAGATTTACTGTACTAACATAAAATTCACATTCCATAAAGTTTGCCATTTTAAAGCATACAATGCAGTGGATTTCAGTATATTCACACAGTTGTGCTTCCATTATCATCATCTTATTCCAGAACATTTTCTGTACCCTAAAAAGAAGCCCCATATCATTCGTCAGTTCTTCAGTGTCTCCTTTTGTACCCCTGGAAATCATTGATCTACTTTCTTTCTTTATATAGTTGATTATTAGGGGTTTTCATGAGAGTAAAATCTTGTAACATGTAGCCTGCCTTTCTTTCAAAATTAACATAAATTTTCAAGGTTGATCCATATTATCATAAACCAGAATATTATCTGTCTGTGGCCAATTATTGTTCCATTGTATAGATATACATCTGTGCATTTATCAGTTGATGGACAGTGGATACATCTGTGCATTTATCAGTTGATGGACAGTGGATTGTTTTCTCAAAAATAGCTTAGTTTTCAGAAAGAGCATCTATTCTATTTTATAATTCTGAAGTAGTGTCCTTTTTTTGGGGGGGGGGTCTTGGGCTTGAACTTTGGGCTGGAGCACTGTCCCTGAGCTCTTAAGCTCAAGGCTAGTGCTCTACTACTTGAGCCACTGCACCACTTCTGATTTTCTGGTGGTTTATTGGAGATAAGAGTCTCACGGGGAAGAGGGAGGAGGGGATGGGAAGGAGAAACAAAGGAGGAGGCAACAATGCTTGATAAGAAATGTACTCATTACTTTGCCCATGTAATTGTAAGCCCTCTGTACAGTATTTTCACAATTAAAAAAAAAAGTCTCACACTTTCCTGCCCAGGCTGGCTTTGAACCACAATCCTCAGATCTCAACCTCCTGAGTAGCTAGGATTATAGGCTTGAGCCACTGGTGCCCAGCAGTAGTGTCTTTTTGTAATCTTGTTTCTGGGCTATATTCCTTATGTTTTTGATGACGTACGCTGGAATGGTAGCTTTGTGAGAACAGAAGCCTTTTTTCATTTGTTGCATGATCCATCCAAGAACTCAAAATAGTGCTTGGATATGAAGAAGCAATTAACAATATTTGTAATACAAATGAACAATGGTCACAATAATGATTCACATTGAGATGTGCTTCTGGTTTTGAAAAGATGGGAGCTCTCTTATAACTATGACTATCTTTTTTGCAGATGGAGTGGTTCAATCATTATAAAAAGATCCTTGCTACTTACATGAGGTCACTGGGAGGAAATGAAGGTTTGGATATCACACAGGATATGAAACCTCCGAAAAGCCTATATATTGAAGTATGGATATGAAACTTCTGAAAAGCCTATATTGAAGTATCTATATCTGCTTTCATATGAACATTGTTCTAACATTTATCAAAGATGAGGAGCACATGTGAATCTGTATTTGTTCCTGTTAACTCAGTCCAATCCCTGGGGCCTCACTGGCTCTCAGGCATTTGAACACTTGAGCTCCAGCTCCAGCCCCCTTTATGCATTGCTTATTTTTGAGCTAGGGTCTTTATGCCCAAGACAGCTTGGTCTACAATCCTCCTGCTTGTTCTTGCCTTTGTCACTGGATGACAAGCATGAGTATTGTGTCTAGCCAATGTTCATTTCCCTGTAGCTGGGCTAACAGGTATATGCCACTACACCCAGCCATTAGTTGAGATGGAATCTCACAAACTACTTTTTGCCCCAGGCTGACCTCTCAAACTGTCATCTTTGGATTACAGGCTTGAGCTACCGTGCCCAGCTTGAAATTTGGATTTTAATTTTTTTCTTGCCTAGTAATATAATTCTCTGAGCAGGGATAGCGAGTCACAGCTTCCAGTCAATATCCAGTCACAGAGATAAACAAATGGTGGTCTTCATTGTACTGTGTTGCTAAGCTGCATGTCAAATGCATATTGTGTGTCTGTCTTTCTGTCTGTCTGTGCACTGGAACTGGGGCTTAAACTTGGGGCCTGACCATTGTCCCTTAGCTTTTTTATTCAAGGCTAGTGTTCTACCATTTGAACCACAGCTCTACTTCCAGCTTTTGGTGGTTAATTGGAGATAAAGAGTTTTATAGACTTTCCTGCCTGGGCTGGGGCTTTGAACTGTGATCTCCAGACCTGAGCCTCCTGAGTAGCTAGGATTACAGGCATGAGCCACCAGTGCCCTGTTTCCTCCCCCCTCCAGAAGTCAATTTAGCTAGGGGTTTGTAAATTTTATTGACCATTTCAAAGAACCAAGAACCAACTGTTAAGCTGATTTTGCAATTATCTCTATACTCTCTATTTTGTTTATTTCAATATTATTTCAAGTTATACTTATTTAAGACATTTTTCTTGTTCTTAAACCAAACATGGTGGGTACCCCTGTAATCCCAGCACTCTAGCTGAACCAGGAAGATTTCAAGTTCAAAGCCAGCCAGGGCTATAAAGTGAGTTCCAAGCTAGGCTGGACTACATAGGTAGACTCCTGTCTCAGAAAAGAAGGGTATTTATAACTTATATATTTTGCCCTTAGCATTGGTTTTACTATAGCCCACGAATTTTGATGATATTTTCAAGTCATTCTCTAGTACATATACTTCTCTTGTGATTTCTTCTGAGTCATTGAGGTTTTTGATTTTGTTTTGTTGCTTACTAGATAGCCCAAGTTAGCCTCAAACTAGTATTTCTTTCTTCCTTTTTTTTTTTTTGTGTTGATCATGGGCCTTGAACTCTAGGCCTGGGCGCTGTTCTTGAGCTCCTCAGTTCAAGGCTAGCCCTCTACCACTTGAGCCACAGTGCCACTCCTGGTTTTTGCGTGGTTAATTGGAGATAAGAGTCTCACAGGGACTTTCCTGCCCAGGCTGGCTTTGAACCTTGATCCTCAGATCTCAGATTCCTGAGTAACTAGCATTACTGGTATGAGCCCCCAGCAGCTGGCTCAAATTAGCATTTCTTGCAGGACAAGTCTAGTGATTAATAAAATATTATTAGCTTTTATCTCGCTTAAAACAGCTGAAACATCTTAATTTTTTCTGAATCTTGTTTTTTTTTTTTTTTGGTTTTTGGGTTTTTTTGGTGACAGTCCTGGGAACTGAACTCAGGGCCTGAGTGAGCATTGTCCCTGAGCTTCTTTTGCTCAGCTAGACTAGTGCTCTACTACTTGAGCCACAGCTCTACTTGCAGATTTTTTTGTCAGTTGTGGGGCCTGAACTCTAGGCCTGGGTGCCATCCCTCAGATCTACCACTTGAGCCCCAGGGCCACTTCTGGCTTTTTCTGCTTATGTGGTGCTGAGGAATCAAACCCAGGACCTTATGCATGCAAGGCAAGCACTCTACCACAGAGCCACCTTCCCAGCCCCTTTCAGCTGTTTTTTTGTGTGTGATTGATTGGAGATGAGTCTCACAGACTTTTGTGCCCTGGCTGACTTCAAATCATGCTCCTCACATCTTGGCCTCCTGAGTAGCTAGGATTACAGTCAGGCATAAGCCACCTGTGCCCAGCTTTTCCCAAATTTTTGAAGGCCAGTGTTGCCACAGATTCTTCATTAATAATACTATTCTTTTAAACTTGGAAACTATTGGCTCCTGGCCTCCAAAGTTTCTGGTGAAAAAATCTGCCAAAACTATTACTAAAGAGTTTCTTGGGAGTAGAGCTATGGCTCAAGTGGTAGAGGGCTAGCCTTGAGGAAAAATAGCTTGTGGACAGCGCCTAGGTCTTGAGTTCAAGTCCCAGGACTGGCATTAAGAAAAACACAAGTGTTTTAAAAAACCAGGTGCTGGTGACTCATGTTTGTAATCATAGGTATTCAGGAGGCTGAGATCTGAGGATGGCAGTTTGAAGCCTGTCCAGACAGGAAAAGTCCAGGAGACTCATCGCTAATAACCTACCCAGAAAAAGCTAAAAGTGGTACAGTGGCTCAAGTGGCAGAGTGCTAGTTTTGAGAAAAAGAATCTCGAGACAGTTCCCAGCCCCTGAGTTCAAGCCCCAGGCCCAGTACAAACACACAAAAAAAGTTTCTTCTAAGTTTCTATTTAAAGTTTAATGGTAATGTGTCTCCAGGTAGCTATTTTTTGAGTTAATCTTACTTGAAATTTTTTTGTTTGTTTTTGTCAGTTGTGGGGCCTGAACGCTGGGCCTGGGCTCTGTCCTTTAGCTCTTCAGCTCAAGGATAGTGCCTACCACTTGAGCCACACACCACTTCCAGCTTTTTCTGTGTATGTGGTGCTGAGAAATCAAACCCAGGGCCTCATGTGTGCAAGGCAAGCACTCTACCACTGTGCCACCTTCCCAGCCCCTACTTGAAATTTTTTTACCTTTAGTGTTTATATTCCTGTCTTTAATCAAATTTAGAAAAATTTCAGCTTGTTTCTTTCTATTATTATCTCTATTTCTCTTTCAACATACATGGTACTTTATTTTTTTTCTTTTGTATATGCAATTGCTTTTGACTATCTTAGCTTGTAATGTTGCCTTTTAAGAGGGAGAAAAAGAAAAAGGAGGAGGTAGAATGGTAACTGCTACTGTGCTAAAAGTTAAAATTTACCAAATGAATCTCTGTTTACCCTGTGAACCTTCCCCTGGAAGTTAGAAGCTTCAGGAGAGTACTGAATTCCAAAATACTTACACAGAATTTGCCAGTGCAATTATTGTCTAGGAAAGGAAGTAGATTTCTGGTGCTTCATATCAAACTATTTCCCTAGAATGTGGGAATTGTAGTACTTTTTTTTTTTTTTT